CCCCAAAACCCCAAAACCCCAAAACCCCAAAACCCCAAAACCCCTATATAAAAAGTAAATCTTAAAGAATTATTTAACTCTAATATGGTTTAAGATGGAGACCAAAACTTAGACAATTAGTGGACTTCAGATATTTTTATTTATTCATATGAATAGTGTTCAACCCAATAGTGCCTAGGCGCCCCTTAGATTTTATGCTGTTGTTGTAATGATTGATCTTTATGATTTGTAAACTCTTTGTATCACCTTTAACCCAACTTTCAATAATGTCTCTGCCAGCATTCTTGATCTTATTATGATTCAGTTCTAGAGAGTTGAGCATTCTGTGTTTAAAGGGCTCAAGAAGCTTCTTAAGGTGCTCAAGATGTTCATCTAAAATAAAAATATGAGCCACCATAATATTTCCAAACCTTACCATGCAATCCACAGTGGCTAAAAGATAAGTTCTCTAGATTATTAAGGTCAGAGAGCAAGTCAGAATCTAGCTCCCATATGTTCTTGCATTTCAAAAATGACAAATATTTCAGAAGGGAGTAATCAAGATTCCCCTTAAAGACATCTCTAATCATCTTGACATTCTCTGGATTTCCAAAGTCAATTTCTTTAATAGTCAGGTACTTTACTCCTATCATTATCACTCCCCTTAGAAAGACTCCTAGGTTATAAACATCATTAGCATTGACTGCATCTTCATATTTCAAGCAACTGAAGGATAGAGAATCTAAAGATTCGGGTAAAACTCTCAGGAAAGGAACTATATCTATTTTATCAATGTGACTTTCAGCTGCAGCTATTGCGTTCTGATTCTGCTCAGCAATTATGGCTTTCTTTTCCTCTATAAAATATATAAAGTCTTTTTACCTTCTTCCTGATCTATAAGCAATAGTTAGCATAATGGTTATTTTGATGTAGATAAAAAAATTGGAAAAATTATTATTTAAAGAAATCAAGCTACGATGAATCTCAAAACTGAATAGCCAACTTAATCAGGGGAATCACGAATCTTGGCTTACCCTTTTTATTTAAGAATATCCTCGTTTTCTTCCTGACATCATCTGGATCATCAGAATCTACCGAAGATATGTCATCTTCATCATTTTGGTCTTTAGCTGGCTCTTTATCACCTTCTCCTTCTCCTGCATCATCTTCCTAATTTCATTAATCCAAAGGAAGCTCTAAAGCTCAAAACTTACATCTACTTGAGGATGATCTACATTCTCTTCTTCTTCTATGTATCCTCCTTGTCTCCTGATATTTTCATCTTTGACCATAAAGATGCTCAATGACCTAATCTCATTTGGCATTTTCCATGCATGTGACTTCCCAATAAGCTCTTTGAATTGAGTAACATTAACTCTCATCTCTACAGAGTCGCTAAATTCATGGTAGATCATCGTCTGGTCGCAGAACTTGAACTCTTCGCCTCTTGTGGAATCTAGGCCGTTGATGAACTCTCTATCGAAGAAGCCGAGGTCAACTAGATCCATATTAGTCTTGAAAAGTTTCTACGCTTACCTTCTCTTTCAACAAATTCGACTTTATTGTTAAGATTGGCTCAGTTTTCTTCTTTATTCTCTTCCTTCATTTCTTCTGAGTCATCTTCGAAGTCTGCTTCGAGGTCGTGATATAGAGAGATGGTTGCTTCGTAGTCGATATTTTGTGCTTCAAGCTCTGCTCTGAGTTCATCCTGGATTCTTTGCTTGTCTGCTTCGGAGACTTCACCTTCGATGGCTGCAAACTTAGCAAAGGCTTTGAACAAGCAGTCTTGGAGAGAGCGACCGTGGGTTTTGTACCTTTCGTCTTTAGTCATCAGCCCTATACAACTCATATATTCTGATCAAAATCCCCAAGAAATCCAACCTCTTCCCTACTTACATTCAGCTTGTCTCACAAACTCATGCCCCTGAATAGATTTACTCTGCGACTCTTTTGCCAAATTTTTCGCTTCCCACTTCTTTTCGAACTCATGACTCTCAAAATCCCAACAAATCCTATTACTCTCAGCCTCTTTTTCATATGCTTCTTTTAAATTCGGGTCCTCGTCATACTTCTGCTTAAGGATATCTTCTACAAATTTAAGGATTTTGCAAGATTTCTGTTTCTTCTGGTCAGCGCTTTTAACATTATTATTAGTAAAAAGATCAAATTTGGTCATAAGTAGTCTTCCAAACACTGATGCAAGGTTTGGAATCATTTTATTTTAGCTTATCAAATTGAGAATCAGCATCTATAAGTTAACCATTGATTTTACCCCATTTATTTATCTTATCATATAATGTGAAAAACTCTCTTATTTCTATTTCTATATCAGCAAAGGGAAGTTTTAATTTAAGCAAATCAAAGTTGTTCTTTATGCTTTCTAGTAGGGTTTGGAGTTCTTTTGAATCATCACTATCAGTCTTTTCTAAAACTTGTCTAACCTTCTCAATCTGCCTTAAGTACAAATCTTCCTTCAAATTCTTCGATACGAACATCTATATTGAGGAATTAGTATTAAAAGCATTGTAATCATAAAGATGATTAAGTTGTGTTAAACCCACAAAGGCAAACCCTCTAAGCAAGCTTTAATGACTAGTTAGGGTTATAAGTAGCCCATACTTTTAGATCCTTTGAAATAAATATTAAATAACTCAGCTAGAGTCTACTTTTATGGGGTTTTGGGGTTTTGGGGTTTTGGGGTTTTGGGG